ATGCTGCTACCACCCCTGACAACTGATGCTGCTACCACCCCTGACAACCGATGCTGCTACCACCCCTGACAACTGATGCTGCTACCACCCCTGACAACTGATGCTGCTACCACCCCTGACAACCGATGCTGCTACCACCCCTGACAACCGATGCTGCTACCACCCCTGACAACCGATGCTGCTACCACCCCTGACAACCGATGCTGCTACCACCCCTGACAACCGATGCTGCTACCACCCCTGACAACCGATGCTGCTACCACCCCTGACAACCGATGCTGCTACCACCCCTGACAACCGATGCTGCTACCACCCCTGACAACTGATGCTGCTACCAACCCCTGACAACTGATGCTGCTACCACCCCTGACAACCGATGCTGCTACCACCCCTGACAACCGATGCTGCTACCACCCCTGACAAACCGATGCTGCTACCACCCCTGACAACCGATGCTGCTACCACCCCTGACAACCGATGCTGCTACCACCCCTGACAACCGATGCTGCTACCACCCCTGACAACCGATGCTGCTACCACCCCTGACAACCGATGCTGCTACCACCCCTGACAACGATGCTGCAAACCACCCCTGACAACTGATGCTGCTACCACCCCTGACAACCTGATGCTGCTACCACCCCTGACAACCGATGCTGCTACCACCCCTGACAACTGATGCTGCTACCACCCCTGACAACTGATGCTGCTACCACCCCTGACAACCGATGCTGCTACCACCCCTGACAACCGATGCTGCTACCACCCCTGACAACCGATGCTGCTACCACCCCTGACAACCGATGCTGCTACCACCCCTGACAACCGATGCTGCTACCACCCCTGACAACCGATGCTGCTACCACCCCTGACAACCGATGCTGCTACCACCCCTGACAACTGATGCTGCTACCACCCCTGACAACTGATGCTGCTACCACCCCTGACAACTGATGCTGCTACCACCCCTGACAACCGATGCTGCTACCACCCCTGACAACCGATGCTGCTACCACCCCTGACAACCGATGCTGCTACCACCCCTGACAACCGATGCTGCTACCACCCCTGACAACCGATGCTGCTACCACCCCTGACAACCGATGCTGCTACCACCCTGACAACCGATGCTGCTACCACCCCTGACAACTGATGCTGCTACCACCCCTGACAACTGATGCTGCTACCACCCCTGACAACTGATGCTGCTACCACCCCTGACAACCGATGCTGCTACCACCCCTGACAACCGATGCTGCTACCACCCCTGACAACCGATGCTGCTACCACCCCTGACAACCGATGCTGCTACCACCCCTGACAACCGATGCTGCTACCACCCCTGACAACCGATGCTGCTACCACCCCTGACAAGTATATCAGTGGTATTCGATACCTTCTACAAGTAAAGATACCCAGACACAAGTGTCTTTCTTCATCAACCAAGTGACAGGATATTCCAGGATCCACGTAGAAAATAATGGGTGGCCAGAACCCTGAGCAGTACACGAGAGAGCTGGAGAGCTGAGTAGAGCAGAGCTGAGTACAGCAGAGCTGAGAGGAAGAAATTCTAGAAGCACAACACAGAAGATCAGTCACAACTGGTCTAGAGAGAGGCAAGCAGTCAAATATCAGCAGGTCAAATTAAATAAGGTTATATGGTTACTGAAGACCATGACGAGGATGTGCGTGGGTAAACAGACAACTTGTCAGACTTTCGACAGGGAACAATGTCAGAGAAGATAAAGGAATGGTTATAGTCGTAACTATAATTTTGAAAGTGGTGGAGGGGTAAGCCAGTGGAAGGCCTCGGTCAGATGACCAAAAGCTCCAGTGATGGGTCGTTTGACTAAGATCAGCGTCAGGAAACACTTGTCCTGTTTCCTGACAAACCTAAGATTGCGCCAAACTGACAGAACAACAAGAAACAAGTGAACGAGCTGAGAGTGTTGGACAGAGCCAAGGTTAACAGTGCTGACATATCATGAGTACTGACGTGAAGGAACCGGGACAGAGCCAAGGTTAACAACACTGACATATCATGAGTACTGACGTGAAAGAACCAGGACAGAGCCAAGGTTAACAACACTGACATATCATGAGTACTGACGTGAAAGAACCAGGACAGAGCCAAGGTTAACAACACTAACATATCATGAGTACTGACGTGAAAGAACCAGGATAGAGCCAAGGTTAACAACACTGACATACCATGAGTACTGACGTGAAGGAACCAGGACAGAGCCAAGGTTAACAACACTGACATATCGTGAGTACTGACGTGAAAGAACCAGGACAGAGCCAAGGTTAACAGTGCTGACATGATATCATGAGTACTGACGTGAAAGAACCAGGACAGAGCCAAGGTTAACAGTGCTGACATGATATCACCATGAGTACTGACATGAAGGAAGCAGAGCGTTGTGTCAGATACAAGGTTATACAATAAGTCTCATAATACAACAAAACCACACACACACACACACACACACAAAAACATACATGAACAAACACCAGGACCTAAACCACACACACACACACAAACATACAAGAACAAACACCAGGACCTAAACCACACACACACACACAAACATACATGAACAAACACCAGGACCTAAACCACACACACACACACACACACACACACACACACACACACACACACACACACACACACACACACACACAAGAACACCAGACCTAAACCACACACACACAAAACATACAAGAACAAACACCAGGACCTAAACCACACACACACACAAACATACATGAACAAACACCAGGACCTAAACCACACACACACACACACACACACACACACAAGAACAAACACCAGGACCTAAACCACACACACAAACATACATGAATAAAACACCAGGACCTAAACCACACACACACACAAACATACAAGAACAAACACCAGGACTTAAACCACCACACACACAAACATACATGAACAAACACCAGGACCTAAACCACACACACGCACAAACATACAAGAACAAAACACCAGGACCTAAACCACACACACACACAAACATACAAGAACAAACACCAGGACCTAAACCACACACACACACACACACAAAACATACAAGAACAAACACCAGGACCTAAACCACACACACACACAAACATACAAGAACAAACACCAGGACCTAAACCACACACACACACAAACATACATGAATATAAACACCAGGACCTAAACCACACACACACACACACACACACACACACACACACACACACACACACACACACAAACATACATGAACAAACACCAGGACCTAAACCACACACACACAAACATACAAGAACAAACATCAGGACCTAAACCACACACACACACACACAAACATACAAGAACAAACACCAGGACCTAAACCACACACACACACACACACACAAACATACAAGAACAAACATCAGGACCTAAACCACACACACACACACACACACACACACCACACACACACACACACACACACACAAACATACAAGAACAAACACCAGGACCTAAACCACACACACATACACACAAACATACATGAACAAACACCAGGACCTAAACAACACACACACACACAAGAACAAACACCAGGACCTAAACCACACACACACACACAAAGAAACACCAGGACCTAAACCACACACACACACACACACACACACACATACAAGAACAAACACCAGGACCTAAACCACACACACACACACAAACATACAAGAACAAACACCAGGACCTAAACCACACACACACACACACACACACACACACAAACATACATGATGAACAAACAAGTCACTTACCAAAGATCAACAAGAATTTAAAAGAAGGTTACTTGTGTCTCACAAAGGTACTGGTGACGGAAATCAGAAGAGACAGTGACAGACGTAGAGACAACAACTGTTGTAGACTGTGTGACGCTATTCAAGACATTGTGACGCTGTTCAAGACATTGTGACGCTGTTCAAGACATTGTGACGCTGTTCAAGACATTGTGACGCTGTTCAAGACATTGTGACGCTGTTCAAGACTGTCATGGTGACCTACAACACTCGTGACAACAGTAGAGAACAACACTAGTACGTGGAGAACAACACTAGTACGTGGAGAACAACACTAGTACGTGGAGAACAAAACTAGTACGTGGAGAACAATACTAGTTTGTGGAGAACAACACCAGTACGTGGAGAACAACACCAGTACGTGGAGAACAATAGTACGTGGAGAACAACACTAGTACGTGGAGAACAACATTAGTACGTGGAGAACAACACTAGTACGTGGAGAACAACACTAGTACGTGGAGAACAACATCAGTACGTGGAGAACAACACTAGTAAATGGAGAACAACACCAGTACGTGGAGAACAACACTAGTACGTGGAGAACAACACCAGTACGTGGAGAACAACACCAGTACGTGGAGAACAACACTAGTAAATGGAGAACAACACCAGTACGTGGAGAACAACACTAGTAAATGGAGAACAACACCAGTACGTGGAGAACAACACTAGTACGTGGAGAACAACACCAGTACGTGGAGAACAACTTAGTACGTGGAGAACAACACTAGTACGTGGAGAACAACACTAGTACGTGGAGAACAACACCAGTACGTGGAGAACAACACTAGTAAATGGAGAACAACACCAGTACGTGGAGAACAACACTAGTAAATGGAGAACAACACCAGTACGTGGAGAACAACACCAGTACGTGGAGAACAACACTAGTACGTGGAGAACAACACCAGTACGTGGAGAACACTAGTAAATGGAGAACAACAGTACGTGGAGAACAACACTAGTACATGGAGAACAACACCAGTACGTGGAGAACAACACCAGTACGTGGAGAACAACACCAGTACGTGGAGAACAACACCAGTACGTGGAGAACAACACCAGTACGTGGAGAACAGGTTACAGAAACAGTGTTGAAACAAGTATGAACAGTGTTGAAGAACAGCTAAGCTTACTAATACCTGTACGTTACTTGTAGCCGCTTCCAGAGGTCACGTTCTTCACGACCAGGTCCCTGACCAGGCCTGGTTGTTGGTCTGATCGACCAAACTGTTAGTGGCCGTCACCAGCAGTCCAGCCTATGTACCACATCCCGCCTGAGGTGAGGTTCATATATTAGTGGAATGAACAACTTTGAGGTGATGAACAATGGTATGTCTGGGTAGAAGTGCAGAAAAGACATGATCAAGGTATGAAGATACTGAGGGACAGTGACAGTGTAGACATGAACTAACAAGATGAACAACTGTGGGACAGTGACAGTGTGGACATGAACTAACAAGATGAACAACTGAGGGACAGTGACAGTGTGGACATGAACTAACAAGATGAACAACTGTGGGGCAGTGACAGTGTAGACATGAACTAACAAGATGAACAACTGTGGGACAGTGACAGTGTAGACATGAACTAACAAGATGAACAACTGTGGGACAGTGACAGTGTAGACATGAACTAACAAGATGAACAACTGTGGGACAGTGACAGTGTAGACATGAACTAACAAGATGAACAACTGTGGGACAGTGACAGTGTAGACATGAACTAACAAGATGAACAACTGTGGGACAGTGACAGTGTAGACATGAACTAACAAGATGAACAACTGTGGGACAGTGACAGTGTAGACATGAACTAACAAGATGAACAACTGAGGGACAGTGACAGTGTAGACATGAACTAACAAGATGAACAACTGTGGGACAGTGACAGTGTAGACATGAACTAACAAGATGAACAACTGTGGGACAGTGACAGTGTAGACATGAACTAACAAGATGAACAACTGAGGGACAGTGACAGTGTAGACATGAACTAACAAGATGAACAACTGAGGGACAGTGACAGTGTAGACATGAACTAACAAGATGAACAACTGAGGGACAGTGACAGTGTAGACATGAACTAACAAGATGAACAACTGTGGGACAGTGACAGTGTAGACATGAACTAACAAGATGAACAACTGAGGGACAGTGACAGTGTAGACATGAACTAACAAGATGAACAACTGAGGGACAGTGACAGTGTAGACATGAACTAACAAGATGAACAACTGAGGGGCAGTGACAGCGTGGACATGAACTAACAAGATGAACAAGAACAAGATGAACAACTGAGGGACAGTGACAGTGTGGACATGAACTAACAAGATGAACAAGAACAAGATGAACAACTGAGGGACAGTGACAGTGTAGACATGAACTAACAAGATGAACAACTGTGGGACAGTGACAGTGTGGACATGAACTAACAAGATGAACAACTGAGGGACAGTGACAGTGTGGACATGAACTAACAAGATGAACAAGAACAAGATGAACAACTGAGGGACAGTGACAGTGTGGACATGAACTAACAAGATGAACAAGAACAAGATGAACAAGAACAAGATGAACAACTGAGGGACAGTGACAGTGTGGACATGAACAAACAAGGAAGATGAACAAGAACAAAGTTGAACAAGAACAAGGAAGATGAACAAGAACAAAGAAGATGAACAAGATGAACAAGAACAAACAAGGAAGATGAAAAAGAACAAACAAGGAAGATGAACAAGAACAAACAAGGAAGATGAACAAGAACAAACAAGGAAGATGAACAAGAACAAAGAAGATGAACAAGAACAAACAAGATGAACAAGAACAAAGATGAACAAGAACAAACAAGGAATATGAACAAGAACAAGATGAACAAGAACAAACAAGATGAACAAGAACAAGGAAGATGAACAAGAACAATGAAAATGAACAAGAACAAACAAGGAAGATGAACAAGAACAAGATGAACAAGAACAAACAAGGAAGATGAACAAGAACAAACAAGATGAACAAGAACAAGGAAGATGAACAAGAACAAACAAGATGAACAAGAACAAACAAGGAAGATGAACAAGAACAAACAAGGAAGATGAACAAGAATAAGATGAACAAGAACAAACAAGGAAGATGAACAAGAACAAGGAAGATGAACAAGAACACGGAAGATGAACAAGAACAAACAAGGAAGATGAACAAGAATAAGGAAGATGAACAAGAATAAGGAAGATGAACAAGAACAAACAAGGAAGATGAACAAGAACAAACAACTAAGATACCAAAGAAGACATAAGAGAAGAACAAAGGAACAATACCAAGACTGGAACAATGAACAACTAACAAATACAATCAAATTTATAACGACATTTCGGTCCTACTTAAACCATTACCTAGACGTAACTAGCTAATGGTGTACATTAGACCTAAACGTCGTGAGTTCATTATATGTGCGGGTTATTACTGGATAAATGGACCCTCAACATCTTAACAACACAGTCAGCATAAGTACTGTAAACAAGTGGAAGACAGTAGATAATGTGGCACTGGAAGGTTGTCTTGGTGCTTTTATAACCACTGAGATACCTCTGGAAGACTGCACTGGAAGGTTGTCTTGGTGCTTTTATAACCACTGAGATACCTCTGGAAGACTGCACTGGAAGGTTGTCTTGGTGCTTTTATAACCACTGAGATACCTCTGGAAGACTGCACTGGAAGGTTGTCTTGGTGCTTTTATAACCACTGAGATACCTCTGGAAGACTGCACTGGAAGGTTGTCTTGGTGTTTTTATAACCACTGAGATACGTCTGGAAGACTGCACTGGAAGGTTGTCTTGGTGCTTTTATAACCACTGAGATACCTCTGGAAGACTGCACTGGAAGGTTGTCTTGGTGCTTTTATAACCACTGAGATACCTCTGGAAGACTGCACTGGAAGGTTGTCTCGGTGCTTTTACAACCACTGAGATACGTCTGGAAGACTGCACTGGAAGGTTGTCTCGGTGCTTTTACAACCACTGAGATATCTCTGGAAGACTGCACTGGAAGGTTGTCTTGGTGCTTTTGTCTTGGTGATTTTACAACCACTGAGATACGTCTGGAAGACTGCACTGGAAGGTTGTCTTGGTGCTTTTATAACCACTGAGATACGTCTGGAAGACTGCACTGGAAGGTTTTCTTGGTGTTTTTATAACCACTGAGATACGTCTGGAAGACTGCACTGGAAGGTTGTCTTGGTGCTTTTATAACCACTGAGATACGTCTGGAAGACTGCACTGGAAGGTTGTCTTGGTGTTTTTATAACCACTGAGATACGTCTGGAAGACTGCACTGGAAGGTTGTCTTGGTGCTTTTATAACCACTGAGATACGTCTGGAAGACTGCACTGGAAGGTTGTCTTGGTGTTTTTATAACCACTGAGATACGTCTGGAAGACTGCACTGGAAGGTTGTCTTGGTGCTTTTATAACCACTGAGATACGTCTGGAAGACTGCACTGGAAGGTTGTCTTGGTGCTTTTATAACTACTGAGATACGTCTGGAAGACTGCACTGGAAGGTTGTCTTGGTGCTTTTATAACCACTGAGATACGTCTGGAAGACTGCACTGGAAGGTTGTCTTGGTGTTTTTATAACCACTGAGATACCGCTGGAAGACTGCGCTGGAAGGCTGCCTTGGTGCTTTTTTTTAACCACTGAGATACGTCTGGAAGACTGCACTGGAAGGTTGTCTTGGTGCTTTTACAACCACTGAGATACGTCTGGATGACTGGATGGATCCTGGATGGATGACTGGATGAATGACTGGGTGGATCCTGGATGACTGGATGGATCCTGGATGACTGGATGGATCCTGGATGACTGGATGGTTGCTATGTATATTGGCTGCCAAACATCCTTAACAATCTTGCTACACAGCCGCTATAACTGCCCAAGGCTGTACTACACAGCCGCTATAACTGCCCAAGGCTGTACTACACAGCTGCTATAACTGCCCAAGGCTGTACTACACAGCTGCTATAACTGCCCAAGGCTGTACTACACAGCCGCTATAACTGCCCAAGGCTGTACTACACAGCCGCTATAACTGCCCAAGGCTGTACTACACAGCTGCTATAACTGCCCAAGGCTATACTACACAGCCGCTATAACTGTCCAAGGCTGTACTACACAGCCGCTATAACTGCCCAAGGCTGTACTACACAGCCGCTATAACTGCCCAAGGCTGTACTACACAGCTGCTATAACTGCCCAAGGCTGTACTACACAGCTGCTATAACTGTCCAAGGCTGTACTACACAGCCGCTATAACTGCCCAAGGCTATACTACACAGCCGCTATAACTGCCCAAGGCTGTACTACACAGCTGCTATAACTGCCCAAGGCTGTACTACACAGCCGCTGTAACTGCCCAAGGCTGTGTGGCTCTGGTGGCCTGGTGGTTAACGCTCTCGCTTCACACGGTGAGGGCCTGGGTTCGATTCCCAGCCAGAGTAGAAACATTGGACGTGTTTCTTTCCACCTGTTGTCTATGTTCCCCATCAGTAAAATGGGTACCTGGGTGTTAGTCGACTGGTGTGGGTCGCATCCTGGGACACTGACCTAAGGAGGCCTGGTCACAGACCGGGCCGCGGGGGCGTTGACCCCCGGAACTCTCTCCAGATAAACAAGCAAATACGAACATATAACAGCCTTACCTGAGTGACTCGCCTGTCCACCTACCATGTAAGCCCCACCACTGCCACCTACCACCACTGCCACCTACCACCACTGCCACCTACTACCACTACCACCACTTACCACCACTGCCACCTACCACCACTACCACCTACCACTGCCGCCTACCACCACTGCCACCTACCACCACTGCCACCTACCACCACTGCCGCCTACCACCACTGCCGCCTACCACCACTGCCACCTACCACCACTGCCGCCTACCACCACTGCCACCTACCACCACTGCCACCTACCACCTCCACCACAATAGTGATTGTAGACTTTTAAGGTACATACCGCCTGACCTACTCTGGGTTCAACCCCTTCACCAGTGTACCAGTACACATCTCTACCAGCCTAACAGTACACGTCTATCAGACAACCAGTACACATCTCTACCAGCCTAACAGTACACGTCTATCAGACAACCAGTACACATCTCTACCAGCCTAACAGTACACGTCTATCAGACAACCAGTACACATCTCTACCAGCCTAACAGTACACGTCTATCAGACAACCAGTACACATCTCTACCAGCCTAACAGTACACGTCTATCAGACA